TAATTATTCATATTTCCCCATGAGCTGATTCGCTACACCATCATCCCCATCATCATCACCACCATCATCACCATCATCATCATCATCATCACCACCACCATCATCACACCATCATCATCATCATCACCATCATCACACCATCATCACCACCAGCATCATAATCATCACCACCATCATCATCACCATCATCATCACACCATCATCATCATCACCACCATCATCATCATCACACCATCATCATCACACCATCATCACACCATCATCATCATCATCACCATCATCACACCATCATCATAATCATCATCATCATCACCATCATCATCACCATCATCACCATCATCATCATCATCACCATCATCATCACACCATCATCACACCATCATCATCATCATCACCATCATCACACCATCATCATAATCATCATCATCATCACCATCATCATCACCATCATCACCATCATCATCATCATCACCATCATCATCACACCATCATCACACCATCATCATCACACCATCCTCATAATCATCATCACCATCATCATCACCATCATCATCACCATCATCACCATCATCATCATCACCACCATCATCATCACACCATCATCACAACCATCATCATCACACCATCATCATAATCATCATCATCATCACCATCATCATCATCACCACCATCATCATCACACCATCATCACAACCATCATCATCACACCATCATCATAATCATCATCATCATCACCATCATCATCATCATCACCACCATCATCATCATCACCACCATCATCACCACCATCATCATCACACCATCATCATCATCACCATCATCATCACACCATCATCACACCAGCATCATAATCATCACCACCATCATCATCATCACACCACCATCACCATCACCATCATCATCACCATCACCATCACCATCATCTTCCTGAAACCTGCTCAGTTTATCTAAACGGCTGTTTCCGATTTCCTCTTCAATCAGACTTACTGAAAAACATCCCGATTCATAAGGACAGCTATACTGCTGACATACAGTATGTCTTCATTAAACACACACACACACTGACGCTCGGTTCTTACGCTCGACATCGTGCAGTTTGGCTCTCTCCTCCTCCAGCTTCGTCTTCAGCGTCTCAGACTCGGTCTTGAGCGTCGCCAGAGTGTCGCTGGGCTGCGCGGCCATTTCCACGAGAACACACAAGATTTCGCGGAGGCGAGGAGTGTTTTGATGGAGAGAGGAGAGCCTGGAGACTCACGATGATGCAGCTGGCGTGACGTCATGAGGGACGCTCCCTCTCTCTCTCTCTCTCTCTCTCTCTCTCTCTCTCTCTCTCTCTCGCATCCGTCTGAACCCCCAGAGAGGCGCTCGGATGTGCGTTATATCCTCCTGATGATCAATATTTGCGCTTTCCACGCCTGCAAGGGCTTCTCAAATCCCTGACTGGAAAACATATGCTCTATAAATTCAGTATTCCATTTGATCACTCTCGGGATTCACACCAAAATAAAAAGAATATATATATTCTTTTTTATTTTATTTTATTTACGTATTAACCCTAACCCATTCTGAAAATATTTGTTTAAAAAGTGAAACCTTTTTGTAAGGCCATATTTGGTATTTGGCATTCTCATTTGCTCTGACATGCACTGTGAGCTGTAAGGTCTTATATAGACAGGTGTGTGGCTTTCCTAATCAAGTCCAATCTGTATAATCAAACACAGCTGGACTCAAATGAAGGTGTAGAACCATCTCAAGGATGATCAGAAGAAATGGACAGCACCTGAGTTAAATATATGAGTGTCACAGCAAAGGGTCTGAATACTTAGGACCATGTGATATTTCAGTTTTTCTTTTTTAATAAATCTGCAAAAATGTCAACAATTCTGTGTTTTTCTGTCAGTGTGGGGTGCTGTGTGTACATTAATGAGGAAAAAAATTAACTTAAATGATTTTAGCAAATGGCTGCAATATAACAAAGAGTGAAACATTTAAGGGGGTCTGAATACTTTCCGTACCCACTGTATATACACACACACAACACACACACACACACACACACATATAGAGTATATCATGTAAAAAAGGTAGTATTAGTTGTTGCACTAATTAATGCATTCATTTGAACAATATTAAAATGTGCCCTGAAGATTTTCATGGCTGTATTAGAAGGAGAATATGCAGTTGATTGAAATATGTTTAATTCCAATGATAAAATAATAACAAAATATCAAAAACTGAAACAATAATAAATTAAATAGAAATAGTTATACAATTACATAATTTAATTATTAAAACTTAAATAAATAAAAAATATAACCTAATAATAAACAAAACCTAATTCAGTAGATTATGCTATAATAGTATGTGAAAGTAAAACATTGCAGTATTGAAAATGGTGAAAATGATCTTAATTGCAATGATAAAATAATAACCAAAATAATATCAAGAACTGCAATAAGAATAATTTAAAGCTAAACTTTAGAAATATTTTTAAAACAATTAAAATAAAAATGACAGTGTATCAAAAATGGTCCTAAAATATGCTTAATTTTTCTTTCTTTTTATTTTTGTATGAAGTATAACCTGCATGCTTGTGAAATGCACTCTGTGAGATTGAGATTACTGGTTGCAAGATTAGTTCCAGGGGTTTCCATCTCTAGTCCCCAGAGGATTAACCATCATAAATATAGCATTTCCACGGCATATTGTTATGAGAACTAAGAGTGCTAAGAGTGAAGAGAGGAGGACTGGCAGTTGTGTTTATTGATTTATTTCAGATTTATTAAAAAAATTCAAAGGAAAGCTATTTGTGACAATTATTTAGGATTTACAAAATGGAGCTGAGCATTTGAGGTTGCTTTGTGATATTGAAATGTATGTTACAGTGTTTGCTTTTAGTTGATCTAAAAGAGTTATAATCTAAACAGTAGTTATTCAAAATACTAATTTAGAGAACACGTGATTAAAATCTTTATAAATAAATCAAAAAATATACAAAAGCATTAATGAGTTTATATTAGCAAATCAGCTACTGTGCAGTGTTCCCATGATGCATTCATGTCAGCACAGACGCATCCTGATCCTAAGGTCAGAGGTTAAAGGTCAAATGCGAGTGACGAAGCCCAGACGGAGGTTGCTGGGCACCTGTAGGAGTTCGAGTGCTTGTGGTGAGGAGCAGAAGGGAAAGGTGACCTGGAAACGATACTGTGAATCCATCATCAGCTGAGACGACCCCTCGCGCTCCTGCAGCAACGCCTGTTACCATAGAGACAAAACAAGGGCCAATCAGACGATGCTCCATTCTATGAACGATTTGTGATCGTTTACCTTTCTATTACCATTCAGAAGTTTGGGGTGAAGTATGATTTTTTTACGGAAGTTAATACTTTTATTCAACAAGGATGCATTAAAGTGATCAAAAGTGACAGTAAAGACATTTATAATGTTACAAAAGATTTCGATTATAAATAAATACTGTTCTTTTGAGCTTTCTTTTCATCAAAGTATCCTGAAAAAAGAAAAAGCATCATGATTTCCACAAAAAATATGAAGCAGCACAAATGTTTTTAACATTGATGATCTATTATTCAATGTTTCTTGAGCAGAAAATAAGTATATTAGAATGATTTCGGAAGGAACATGTGACACTGAAGACTGGAGTAATGATGCTGAAAATACAGCTTTGATCACAGGAATAAATTACATTTTACAATATATTCACATAGAAAACAGTTATTTTAAATTGAAAAAAACATTTCACAATATTACTGTTTTAATTATATTTTTGATCATAAATGCAGCTTAGGTGAGCAGAAGAGACTTTAAATACATAAAAAAATGGTACCAACCCCAAACTTTTGAACAGTAGAGACCGTGCTTAAAAAAAGAAAAAAACCTACCTGCACTTTGCGGACAAAGGACGGAGTGACACGCTTTTCAAAATCATCAATGGGTGTGTAGGAGTTAAGGATTTTCACAATCTACAAAACCAGAAAACAATCAGATTCTAAGGGCTCTTAGAATCTCTGACCAATTAAAAACTGACATTCTATGGCCGATAAAGCCTATATAAATGAATGAATGGCAAAGCAGCAGGCTATAGTTTGCACCTGCACAGGAGAGAGCTCGGAGCATCTCTGCTTGATTTCGGCTGCGTCTTCATCTGTGGTCTTGTTGACCTGAAGAAGCCAGGCGACCTGAGAGAGCGGCCCCAGCGTTTCCATGGCGCAGCTGCTCTGCAGATCCTTCTCTCGCAGCCACTCCTCTAGATAACTGATGTTACACCTGAAAAACAAAGATCCTTCATTAAACCTTTTTCTAGGGATGTTCAGAAAGCCATACTACCAAACCTCTCATACTATCTGTGCAGTAAGCAGTATGTATACAACCACTTGTATGTGCCAGAATGGCACTATTCCAGAGCACACTTCACTGAATACTATATCCCATAATGCAATGCACACCTTACCTTCCATTTCCAGTGATGTATGAACTTAAAACATATACATCTCCACAGTATGTATAGTGTGCACACTATGCAAATGTCTTGTATTTATGGAATAGTACCATACTGTTCATTTTGAAACTTTCCGAAACTTAAACAACTCGTTTTTTGAGACTTTGGCCATGTTTAGCATGAGGATCCAACTCTTTAGCAGAGTAAATAAGTCAGAATGCATGGAATAGCATTAGACATCCCCTTTAAATAGCAAAGACATTTATAGGATTGCAAAACAAATCTGTCACTTTTGATCAATTCAATGCATCCTTGCTGAATAGAACAGTAGTGTATATGCTGTGCATTATGTAGTAATGCACATACAAGGATTTAACACATGTATGCACCTGATCTGCATGCCCTTGCGGCAGGAGCACAGGTCCTTGCGGAGCAGAATGCTGTTCACCGACGTGGCTCCGATGAGGAAGAACAGCTGTCTTATGACCTGACCCTGCAGCTGCGGCTCCATGCCATGCTGCGCCATGCTGGTGTGGGACGCGTCGAGCTGCTGCAGGATGTCTGTCACACTGAACGGCTCCGACCCACTGTGGTCCCCGCCGTCCTCGTACACGCTGTTCGAGCGCTTACGGAAACCGGTGGGCTTCATGCTGGAGATTCCCTGGAGACTCTCGTGCTCCAACATCCCAGGGACTGAACGGAGAGAGTGGATTGTTTAATGAGATGGAACAAAGGAAAATGCGTTAAATTATAGCGCCAATGCATCCACTCTATTTCCATACTTATCATGGGAAAGAGCGCGTCCTCCATCACGCTGATGAACTGATGGTAGATGTTGATGGCGAGGTCGCTGAGAATCTGCCGGTGCTCTGACAGGTCGAAGTTCCTCAGGCAGTTCTTGTTCTGACGAAGAGTGTTGTGCTTCATGAACTCCTGTTGATGGAGGGGAAATAAAGAATCTCAGTGGTTGGTTTCAGGAATGATACAGTAAGATATCCTTGAAATTAAGCGTTAATGTATTAAATCAGGAAGTACAAATAGCATTTTATGGGGTCTTTAAAGGAGTCCTATTATGCTCTTTTACAAAGTCTTGATTTTGTTTTGGGGGTGTACTAGAACAAGCTCTCATACTAAGTTGTTCGAAAAACACATTATTTTTCACATATTTTACATTATTACAACACCTCTCTCCCCGAATAGTCCCTATATCAAATGAAGGCCCGCCTTCTGAAATATGAAATGTGCTGTGATTGGTTAGCTGGGCCAGTGTGTGTTGTGATCGGTCAGCTGGGCCAGTGTGTGCTGTGATCGGTCAG